CAGGGGGATGGGCCAGAGCAGGGGCTTGTCCCTGTGTCACCCTTCCCAGTCTTGTCCCACATGGGAGCCGGGGGCCCCGGCTGTCTCTCCAAACACCTTCTGCACTGCTAGTATCTGTTTTTCTGTAGCAAGCATCGCATCCCTTCAATACTCCCACTATTGGCAGGGATGGAGCGGGTGCAACAGTTTCCTAGGGAAACTTCAGGTTTTTTCCCCCATGGGTTTTGGCCCTGCTGTGCTGGAGGGTTTGATAGGACGAGAGGAAATGGCCTCAAGCTGCGCCAGGGGAGGTTTACATTGGATATTAGGAAAAAATTCTTCATGGAAGGAGTGTTCAAGCATTGGACCAGGCTGCCCAGAGAGGTGGTGGAGTCACCATCCCTGGAAGTGTTCAAAAAATGGGCAGACGTGGCACTTTGGGACATGGTTTAGTGGGCATGGTGGTGTTGGGTCGATGGTTGGACTGATGATCTTAGAGGTCCTTTCCAACCTTAAGGATTCCTAGTTTTTACTTTCATTAAAAACTAATCCAGCCACCAAGCCAGGAAACATGAAATTAATTCTTACTCTCCCCTTAACTGGTTTAGTGGTAGACTTGGTAGTGTGAGGTTAATGGTTGGACTGGATGATCTGAAAGGTCTTTTCCAACCTAAACGATTCCATGATTCTATGATCCCAGCCCTGGGGACTCGTTGGCTCAGCTCAGCCAGTTCCTAGGCTCTCTCCCTGACTCACCAGCACCAGCCCTGAGCTTTCCCCCCCTAGCTTTTCCTGCAGGGATAACCTCATGGCACAGCCACTGTGGCTTGCACAGTTGTGTCCCGTTGCAGCTTCACAGCTTTCTGCCTCCATTCCTGATTGCTGGGCAGGTTGTAACAGCAACCCCCTACCAGCTGCTATTCCTTGGATGCTCCACTGCTTATCTGCAGACTTTGTATGAGGTGACACTCAGATAAATGCATGTTCCATGGTTGCAGGAAAGCTTTGCGGATATGCCTGTGTGATGTGTGTGGCCCAAAGCAGCTGCAAGCTTTGCAGCAGGAGCTTGGGAGGTGCACTGTAGCCCAACTGCAGCTCTATGGGAGTTTTGCAACTGCCGGAGCTCTCTGTTCTGTGCTGGGGTTTATACTGATGCTTTGGTGCGTTGCAAACTACTTTTTCTGGATTTTTCATGGGGTCTGGGGAGTCACTGGGGCCCAGCAATTAGGAAATACGTATACAATAGCTTTTTTTTTTTTTTTGGCACGCTGCCTAGGAAGGAGAGAACAGTGGCTGATAAGAGATCTGCCCCAGTGTTTTCAACATGCCCCTCTGCTAGCTCCCAGGGAGAACCGATCCCTGTGGATGGCCTATCCTCTCACACACATTCCCCTCACTTTTGTGCATGCTTTCTGGTGTTAGTTTTGTCTCTGCAGAAAGCTGTAATGGACAAGCAGATAATGTTTTATCGCCCCATTTGGTGAGCAGTGTCCATATGGTCTCCTGAGGGCTGTACAAGATGTCCTGGGAATAGAGGGACTTATGGGGGAAAAGGAAAATATCAAAAATTGCCTGTGATGGCAAGCCTGGAGGCCAGGAGAGGATGGCATTGCTGCACGAGACCCCAGCTCAGAGCGGTGAGGGGCTGCCATGGGTCAGCCCTGGTCCATCTCCTGCTGATGCAAAGGTCTCATGATCTTGGGTGTTGGCTGTGGGACACGCCTGGGTGCGGGGTGCCATGTTGATTCTATGATTCTATGTGTGGCTGCAGCTGAGCGGTTTTGGGCTGACATCTGCACCAGGTTTGGCTGCAGCCACTGGAGGTCACTGCTGATCTGCAGCTCCACATGTAAAGCCACTTTTGGAGAGGAGGGTAGGAGCTCTGCTCCCAGGTGCTGGCTCTGGGCTGCTCTGCCTCGAACCCCCTGCAAAATCCCTGGGAGTTGGGTGGTTGCTGGCATGTAGGACCTCCACTAGAAATAAGATCTGGCACCCCCAACCCTCCCCAGTTATTCCTGTCTCCTGCTCCTGGATGCAAGGATCCTTTGGCAACCCATCGCTTCCAATTGTACAGCTCAGCGTAGGACCTCCTGGGAGGGATGCTGGCTGAGGGAACATCCTACAGCTCCCGAGCAAACTGCCAAATGCTGAAATGCAGAGCCTGTAACTGGCGGTGCTTTGGGAGGCAAAGGCAGAATTTCAGCAGCTAATTCTTCCCTTGTTCTTGTCGAATAGTCTGTAATGAAGTTAGTGAGTAGGAATAATGCACCTTTGAAGGAGGATGCTCTTATTTGTTTCTCCTCTTTGTGGCCAAGACCCTTTCTGCCCGCTTTGACCGAGGTGGCTTGGTGTCCCATGCGGTGTTGCGCTCCAGCTCTGTGGGTGCAACACAGTCAGCACTGGGGGTTTGGGACTGAAAGGTCTCTTCTAGGAGGGTTTGGAGCCATTGCCAAAGAAATGGGTGATTTTATAGAAATGCTCATGTCCCTTCGCTGTCTTTTGCTGTTTGAGCATCCAACAAGAACTGGAAAAAATTCTCCAGAAGGGACCTGGGAAACTTTAGGGTTCACTGGTTACGCAGGAGATCAATGCTTCCAGCAGCAATGCAAACTGGTAAAATGCCCATTGAAATGTCCTCACCATTTCCAAGGGGGCTGGAAACATTTCCAGCTCCAATCCCAGCTATAGCACCTGGTCCCTCTGGCAGGACAAGTATCATCCCTCAGGACTAGAAGTTCAACTGCTTTAGGGTAACGCTGTTGCTCAGCACTTAAATAAAACCTGGACTAAAATCTTTTGGGCTTTCCACACTCCCTGAACACTGATGTCTCCTCATCTGCAGGTAGCAAGCAAACCTCACTTACTCATTTAGGGCAAAACTGATCTGCTACCTGCTGTAAGAGCTCGCCCATCAGCAATATTATCCTCTCCACGCCCCAAGGGGTAAGGCTGGCATTTTCTGATTTAGCCTGTGCAATGCAAACCTCAGCTGAATGACAAATCTGCCTCTCTAAATCTCCTTTAAAGAAGGAGAAGGGGGAAAGAGAGCAATGGAAAAGGTCCTAAATGGCAGGTGGGTGCCTTCTGGCTTTGGCTGAGCAGTAAATGCTGAGGCTGAGAAAGGTTTCGGGTCCAAATAGTCCTCCCCGAACAGCTGGCAGAGCAGCGTGGTTTTGGATGGGGATTAAGACCTGTGCAGGTCCATAGGTGGTCACAGGGGTGGTGTGTGCCAGCAGAGGTTATAGCAACTCATCAAGGTGTAAAACAGCCTGAGTCAGCCCAAACCCTGACAGCCTGATGAGAGGAATGGGAAATAATGGGATGCTCCCTGGGGAAAGGGTGAAGATGGGGAGCTAGCAGGACTCAGCTGCTATCAGCAGCTCTGCAGAAAGCTGAGCAATGCAACAAGGGCGATACGGGCTCCCTCCTCCCACGGTCATGCAGGGATCCTCCTGTTCAGACCCGAGGGCAAGTCCCAGGGCAATTAGTCTCCGTGTCCTTGGGGCCCCGCTCTGAATGAGACTGCTCTGTAATCAGCAGAGCCTTGATGCAGGGGAAGCCCTGATTTTAAGCAAAGTCTTGGATGGCCTCCAATACCTTTGCAGAAGTTGGCAGG